CGACATATCCTCGCGATAATATCGCAGCGAATGCGGATTGTCTCATTCGAGATGACATCGGTATAATTAACTTGTGGGATGGTCTTCAGGCAACGGTGGTCAAATACCTCCAGTCGTTGCTCATCTTCAGCGCGCAAAGCCCAGCATGCATAGATGAGGGTTGACCGGATGGATGCACGGTATAAACTAATCTTCGTGGCAATGGAGATGTCCCGTCGGGTCCACAAGCGCTTTCTAAGGATTGAGAAGACCCGGTGAGCAGCATCGATGCGGGAGACAGCGTCGTCCTTGCTCTGCCCACTCGGTAGCAGCCTCGCCTCGAAGTACTTAAAACCATCAACTTCTTCAAGCCATTAATCCCCAGGGGTGCGTTCTCCTGATCAGGGATGCAGCTGGAGAATAACTTAGTCTCTCTTTTATTCATAGAAATGCCAACGGACACAGCGATCTCATTCATCCGCGACACTACAGACTGTTGAGCACTAATGCTTGTGGCTAGAGGCGCAATATCATCGGCGTAGTCAAAATCAGTTATCCGGCGTCCGGGTGCAAGCTCAATACCGTCTTCTTCGTGCAGGGCCTTTCCGAGACTTTAGTCATTGGCGTAATTAAAAAGAATGGGCGAAAGGACGCAGCCCTATCGTACACCAGACCGGATATCAAACGACTGAAAGAACTTGCGTGGTGTTGGAACGATAGTGGGCCTTAATCATGGCAATGAGTTTGGTCGGTACTACATCTAGTTCTATTATTCGCCACAGGAACTCACGATGGATGGAACCGAACGCGGCGGCGAAGTCGACAGAGCAAACGGCCGTCGGTTGCTAGTAGCTATGGCGGAATTCCTGAATGTGCCTCAGCGTAAATACCTAGTCTGCACATGCAAGTCCAGCGCTGAATCCGGCTTGGGTGGGCCGCGTCCTAGAGTCACGCACAGAGTGGAACCGTCTGAGAAGCACAATAGCGAAGATCTTTGCAGCAACGGCGGGAGTTCTCGCTTCTTGTCTTATCTCCCTTCTTGTAGACAGGTACAAGGATGCCTGTGCTCCAGTCAACGGGAGCTGTGTTTTCGTCATCAGTGGTGCATAGTCGTGGGTGAGTCTCGCCCCCCGTACCCTCCACATCCCAATAATTCTCTACACGGGCCTCTTTTTGGGCGAT